AGCAAAGTGTGATTGGAGCTCTCCCTATAAATACTGGTGGGGAGGTTGGCTGTTGTCATTTCTTGATTGGTTGATGGAGTTGATGTTTGCAGATCGGCTGGCTTTTTCATAAGAACATGTGTGGCTGAGGTATTGGCTGTGTGTCTATCAGCCTCCTGTGTTGTAATGACCTGGGTAGTGGGCTGTGTGATGACCTTCTGAGTTCTATTGTTTTGACATCCTGGGTCTTGCGCTGTAATCTCCTGGGTTGTTGGCTGTGTTGTAACATCCTGAGGTTTTGTGGTATAACCTCCTAAGTTCCGTGATGTCATAGTGGGTAGCTGTGATGTGACGTTCCGGGTTTTGATTTGGCTCTGAGTTTTAGGCCTGGCTATGTGTTCATGGCATGCGTCAGTTTGTTTGGTTTGGGGGTCGGGGTGTGTGGCAGCTAGTGATGCAGCCGTGGCCTGGTTTCTGGACAGTGGTTGCCTTTCATCTATGGGGTGGGTTTGGGTTTGAGTCTGGTGAGGGAGATTGGTGGTGGCATCATGTGTTGTTTTGTCATGTCATTAAACAAGAGGAAAACCTTCTACACACCAATTCCACCCGCTCTTTCTACAATTTTGTAAACAACAAACTAAAAGACTCAACGTCCATCCCACCCCTGAAAGGACCTAATGGTAAAGACTTCAACGACGACACTATTAAAGCCAACCTCTTTAACACATTCTTTGGTTCAGTATTTGTAAACAGCAATGGATCATGCCCAGTATTTTCTAGTCGCACCACAGACAACTACCATGATCTAATACATATCGATTTTACAGAAGACAATGTTGTAAAAACACTACTCAATCTAAAACCATCTCTATCTATTAGACCAGACAGAATATGTGCCTACTTCTTAAAAAAGCTATCCACTGCCATAGCCAAACCTCTAAGCATAATCTTTGAAAAATCTATCAGGACCAGCTCCTTGCCAAACCTATGGTCACTAGCCATGGTCATCTCCATCTTCAAAAAGGGAAGACCCCAGCCTAGTTGAAAATTACAGACCAATCTCTTTATGCTGAGTCACCTGTAAAATCATAGAATCAATTATTAACCAATCCATTATCCTCCACTTAGAGACAAACAACCTACTCTCTAATAAACAATTTGGTTTCAGAAAAAACTATCCTGTAATCTGCAACTCTTACACTGGAGAAACATATGGACTACACAACTCGATCAGGCCAAAACAATAGACGCAATCTACATAAACCCTAACCCTACATAGACTTCTGTAAAGCCTTTGATTCAGTGGTACATGACAAACTACTCCTAAAAATGAAAATATGTTATCTCTGGATACCTGCATAACTAGATAGAAACATTCTTGTCAAACAGACAACAAATGGCCAAAATTGGGAGCGTCCTATCAAATTCTGTACCTGTCAACAGTGGTGTCCCCCAAGGCAGTGTTCTAGCATCAACTCTCTTCATACTCTACATAAATGACCTCTGTGATCATATCAAGAGCAACTGAGTTCTCTTCGCTGAAGATGTAAAGCTATTCAACACCACAGGCAACACTGCTACCCTTCAAAAAGATCTTGACTATGTATCAGAATGGTCAAACAGATGGCAACTTCAAATCTCAAGAAATAAATGCTCTGTCTTACATATTGGCGAAAAAATCAGAAAACAAAATACAAGCTGAATAGTCAAGACCTTGCTGATGATCCAAACTCTGTAAAGGATCTTGGAGTACTCATCTTTAATGATCTAAGTGCTAGAGCCCACTGTAACTAAATAGCCCAAAAGGCATTAAGAGTTGTTAACCTAATCTTACGTAGCTTTTTCTCTGGTAATATCACACTTTTAACTAGAGAATACAAAACATTTGCTAGACCAATACTTGAATACAGCTCATCAGTCTGGAATCCACATTACGTATCTGATATTAACAGTTGAGAAAGTCCAGAAATATTTCACAAGAAGAGTTCTCCACTCCTCTACTCATTGCAGAATACCTTATGCCACCAGACTTGAAACTCTAGACCTAGAAAATCTAGAACTACGCTGCCTCCAGTCCGATCTAAATATAGTATATAAAATCATACATTGCAATGTCCTACCTGCAAATGAATACTTCAGCTTCAACCATAACAACACAAAAGCACACAATAGATACAAACTCAAGGTTAATCGCACCAAACTTGATTGCAGGAAATACCACTTCAGCAACAGAGTGGTCAATGTCTGGAATACTCTACCTGACTCTGTGGTTTCTTCCCCAAACCCCAAAAACTTTAACCTTAGACTGTCTACTATTGACCTCACCCCCTTCCTAAGAGGCCTGTAGAGGGCGTGCATAAGCGCACCAACATGCCTACCGTCCCTGTCTTATTGTTTCTTTTATTTTTCTTATATGTATCCATGTATTCATAACTATGTTTTTACGTATACCTCTTATCTTGTAAGCAATTGACAAACCAAATAAAATAAAAAATAATGATTTGGGAGGGGGAGGTAGTGAGGTCACCTGGGGTCCAAAGCAGTTATTTCAAAAAATACTCAAAGCATTCAAAGGTCTAACCCAAGGAGATTTATCTCCATTTATGCTGGTTAAAAACGGACAGCAAACCTACTTCTGTCCATCGCAGGCATGTGTTTCTTCATTTTGCACAAGCATTTTCTTCTCATTCTTGATCCTATGGAATAACAATAATGATGATAATAATAGAATGCAGTAAAGGAGGAAGAGGAGGAGGGGGAGGAGGGACAAAGGAGAAACGAGGAGGATGTGTTTCACTTAACAATCATCTCGTTTTGCAACTGAAGTCCCAGTCCCAATTGTGGTTATAAGTGAAGGACTGCCTGTATGTGAATTTTCCCTTGCTTGATATTGCCAGCCACAATTAAAACTCAGAACTTTGATACCCATTAATGCCCATTGTATTTGCTTTAAAAATGTTGCTTCAATATTGTGCTCCAAGGGTTTTCTAATACATCGAAGTTGCAACAAAAGATATGTTAATTCAAAGTGCAATGTAAAACATTTAACAGCTCCAACAGTACAATCAGTGGTGGTGGTAGGGCAGAGAACTGGTTGTTAAACTATTTGAATCCCACCACTGAGTAGCATCAATTACAAATAGAAATTAATCTCTAGCTGTGTACAACTAACACAGTCGTGTGCAAGTGAAATCCGGAGTTTTGAAAACCATTTTTCTAACAATGTTGAAGCATTTCCCCCCCCAAAATGTTGAGTCCATAATTTGTGAAGTTACGTCGTTCCCATTCGGCCAACGATTGGCACCAGCATGCCAAATGAATCCAATTCACTTCTCAATTCGGCTTGCCCGTTCTTTGGAAAATCAAAGGAAGGAAACGTGGTGGAGCCGACCGCTTACCTGCACCATCAGCTGAGAAAGTCCCAAGGCAAAGAATCAGGATGAGCAGCAAGGCAAAAGCCTTCCAGATCCTCATGGTTTCAGCTGATGTGGCAACTCCTTTCTCCCGCAGAGGAAACCGGAGGCGTTTTAACCCCAGGCTTTGCTCTATGTGCCATGTATGGTGTGTAAAACCTCGCTGGACTGCAATCTCTTTTTATATGGGGGTTAGAACAGGGAAAGGGCCAACCTTTCCTCCTTCTACTCAGAGCTGGAGATGTGCCAAAAATGTCACCGCAAAGGGAACTTTGGAGCTGAGAGACTCTGCTTCAGGGACGCACAAAGTTATAAAGTTGACTTGGAAAAGAACTTACAGCCCTCGCCTGCAAACCCTTCGTGCAACACAAACTCTGCGATCCTGGGCTGCACTAAAAGAGGGAGGGAATCAGGATCACGTGAAGCACCGGCACCGCTTGACAAAGCCTGCGTCCAGTTTGGGTCACCACGAAAAGTTGCTGAGACTCTGGGAAGAGGGCAGAGAAGAGCAACCAAGAGGACAAGGGAGCCCGGCGTCCCTGAAAAACCATGTTACTAACTTAACGACTGCAGCGATTCACTTAACAAGGTCGTAAAATGAGGCAAAACCTCCATTAATGTCATACTTAGCAACAGACGTTTGGGCCTCAATTGTGGTCATAAGCCGAGGGCTACCTGTGCTGCAGTTTCTTCCATTCTTTTTAGGCTCTTTCTGCAAGACTCTTGAGTAAAGCGCCATCCCTCGGCTAAACAAATAATTCCCTCAACACTGTCCAGCTATTTACAAAGTCTGCACTAATCTTAATTAATCTTCTCATCACTCCTTATCGCCCCTCCTCCCACTTGTGACCGTATGACTGTAACTTTGTCACTTGTATCCTAACAATTTATATGGACTGTTTCCTAGTATGATTTGATTGCTTATTGTACCCTATGACTATTATTAAGTGCTGGACCTGATGATTCTTGATGAATGTATCTTTTCTTTTTATATACACTGAGAGCATTTGAACGAAGACAAATTCCTTGTGTGCCCAATCACACTTGGCCAATAAAAAGGATTGATTCTATTCTGGTCTGGTCTAAAGAATCGAGGCTGTGCTGGATCCACATACTATGTTCAATTGATAAGAGCCCTACTCACATTTCTGAACTCGGGCTTTGCTTTCTTAACTGTAAATTATTATTATTTTTTAGCAAGGCAGCAAAATGACACCCACCAGCCATTTTTTTTTGGGGGGGGGGGTATCAAAAGGGCCAACACAAAAAATTCTGTTTCCACAATAGATGGGAGGCTCCTTGTTAATTCCATTTATAGACTGCTCATTTTGTAAGCCAATTTAAGTCATTCTACACACACCACAAACGGCAGCAGAAATTTTATCTAAGACACAGTGAGACTATTGCACTCGGGTCTGGTTACAACTTGATCTCGCTATGGTCTATTTAGCTGTATTACATCCATCACTTAATCAGAGTATCAACAGGGCAATATTTTCTAAGTTGGTGGTATCCACTAACGTGGCCCTGTTGGTGGACCATTTTGGAAGCTGTGGATCTCAAAAGCAGCTTGTGCTGGAGTGCATCAAAGACAGCAAGACTCGCAAATGGTTGTGCAAGGACCTTTATTTAGTCAGACCTGATAGCATAGATTGACACTAGACATTACGGAATTGCTGTGAAAGAAATGAGAGTATTACAGAAGCCGGGAGCTTCACACCATATTGTATTTATTTTCTGCCTTGTAGATTTATGTACAATTGTTTTTCCCCAGCCTGTAATTCTGGCATCCAATAAAGAGTCCTGCTTAAGATTCTCTCACCAATCCCTACCCTGTGATCCAAAGGAAGGGCCAGCTGGAGGCTAGGATTTGGAGAGAAAATGTGGCTGGAGAGCCCATCCTGACTTTGGGGCAGAAAATGGCCCCAGACAGAAATAATTCTTTGCTCCTCTGCCACCATTCCCCGCTGCATCGAATTTCCACCCCGAGGCCTCTTCCAAAGCAAACCAGGTAGTAACTACGCTTGGGCAGCTCCCTGGTTTTCTGCTGAAATAATAACTTTTATCATTTTCTGAATCCACAGCTGAATTCAACCCTTGCTAAAGAGCATAAACGGACTTCCAGGCCTGGCAAAGTGGCAGAGAGTCCTCTTTGGAAAGGAGAAGCGGACTTAGCAAGTGCTAGAAGGATAGCTCTACCGACACAAACCTTCTTTTCCGTTTCAAAAACCTCTCCAACCCGAGCAAAGTGATTTGAGTGGTATATGTGCAAACTAGTTACCACTGGATACTGTACAAATTACAACTGGGAGCCTCTGGGCTGCGTGGACCAAGAGGAATTTCAAGACTGACTGCTTAGAATATCAAACTTCTACATGAAAGCTGCTTGGACGCAACGAACGTTTTATTCGAGTTTGGACTAAGCAGAGAAACTGACTGGCGACCCATCAGTGCAGCTGCCTCTACTTCTTCCTGCCGCCACCGCTGGCAAGCATGGTGGCCACTCGGATGAAGATGTTGAGGGTGTCCATATAAATGCCCATGCACCTGGAAGGGAGGAGACAAGAAGATTCCTTGGACAGAGTTCAGCCACCCAACATTTATTTGACTCTTAGGCCGTTGAAGTGTTCTGTATTCTTTCAACTAAAGCCAATCAATTAATCAATGGGAGTTCTGGCAGCTCCATCCCTGGAGGCTTTCAAGGAAGAGACCGGCCTGCCACTTGTCTGAAAATGGTAGAGGGCCTCCTGCTTGGGCAGGGGGTTGGACTAGAACTGGTCACCTGCCCCCAGAAGGTCTCAATGGTCCCTCCCTCCAAGACGGGGCAAGCAAGACGTCCAAGGGCCCGGGGGCTGCGTTTCTAGTGGGAATGAGGGTGGTGGTGACGAACAGCTTCAGCCCCACTGAGGGGGCTCCGCTCTTGAGCAGCGACACTTACGCGTTGATGGGGTCGTACTTCCTCACTCCGACCACCAGGTACGGCTGGCTCTCCGCCCGTCGGATCACCTGCTGGGTGTCGTGAAGCAGGAAGAGGCTGAAAAGCACCAGCCCCCCATAGATGGCCACGGAATACATGCCGGCGCCCAAGATGGAGGTTGGAGGCAGGAACATGGACCCTGGGGACACAGACAGGGACACAGTCAGAGGGGGAGGGGGCTCCTCCCGCCTTTCCAAACCCCCCCACCCTCTGCCAAGGGGTGGGGATTATATTCCAGGCGAGGGACTTCGGCAAGACCCCCGACCGATGCCCACAAGGGAGCCCCCTTTCTACGGCTTTCCTTGCCTGACTCTTGAATGGAGCCCTGCAGCTGTGAAGTGACGCAAGCTGGTCATTAAGTGAGCCTGGCTTCCCCACTGCCTCTGCTTGTCAGAAGGCCCCCAAGGGGGATTACAAGGACGTGCCGGGGCCCAAGCATCTCCACTCTGATCCCGGGACCCTGGGCATGGCTGCAGCGGCCGAGTGATGGAAGGGTCGCATCAGCGCCCCCCTTGCTGGCTCTGCTGGACTCCAGTGCGGACACATGGACAGTCCTTAAGTCACAAGGGCCTCGCTTGGCCAGGAAGGTTCTGGGCCCAACTGGGGCTGCAAGTCGAGGACCTCCTCTGCACTACGACCGCCCCCCCCCCCCCCGCGAGCCCAGCCACTTCTTGGCCTGTCCCTCCCCCCCAGGGGAGCTGGTCCACTTACCCACGGAGGAGACAAGCACCAGGCCCAGGCCCAGGCCCAGGGGGGCTCCCATGTTCAGGAACTTCTCACTTGGGGCACACATGGCCACGGCGGAGAGGCCCCCCACGATGCCGGCCGTGTACCAGGCAGCCCGGACGAGGAGGGGGCCGCCCAGGAGGGTCAGCGGAGCCACCACCGCCCCCATCACACCTGGACGAAAGGAGGGAGGCCGCAGGGAGGGGGGGGGAGGAGGAGGAGGGAAAAAAAGAAAGCAAGAAAAGAACAGAGTTAAGTGGAATAAAGGGCTTTTTTCTCTCTCTCTCCAAGAGGCAACCGGGCTTTCTTTCTTTTTCCTTTGAAGGCGTTTCGCTCCTCCTCCAAGAAGCTTCTTGGGTTCTGAGTGCATGGTGGGGAACTGAAGAAGCTTCTTGGAGGAGAAGTGAAATGCCTTCCAAGGAAATGAAAGAAAGCCCGGTGGCCTCTTGGAGAGAAAAAAGCCGTTTTGGGGACAACCGTGACCTGCAGGGCAGAGAAGGAAATGCCCCACGGGGCGCTGGGGACGTGTGGAACCCAACACCAACACTTGGCCCCCCTGTTTTAAACTGCCCCCCCTTTCACATTCTCTCCTACTGGGGGTCCTCCAACGTGCCACGGGGGCTTGCGGGAGAAGATGCTGAAGCGATGAGCCCAGCTGCCAATCGCCCCAGACAACCGGCTCTTCCCCAACTGCAGTTCAGGGGGCGGTTGTGCCTTTCCTTGAACACGGAAGGATGCCAGGGCTCCACCCATCTCCCCCCCCCCCAAGGCTGCTGACCCAATGCCGGAAGTCCCTCCTTCAGCCAAAGTCTTGTTTTTAAAAAACCAGAGGGCAAAGCCCAGGAGGGCCCCTGCAGGGGTCCCCCCCCAAAAAAAAGGCATCGGGGGGGGGGGGGCAGCGAGTGTCTTAAAGGAGGCCCCAGGGAGGCCAGAGTACCTGCGTGCAGCATCCAGGCCGCGTGTTTGGGGAAGGGGCTCTCTTCAAAGTCTATGGACCGGACCAGCATGCCAGCTCCGATCATCACGGCAAAGGTGGCTCCGATGGCCTGCAGAGGGAACAGGCCTCTCACTAAGGCCGCCAGGAGGCGCTTTGCCCAGCTCCGAGGGCGTCTCCTGCAGCAGGCGCTTTGGAAGGGATTGTCCCCTGGGGCTCCCCCCCCCAACAAGCCTCCCCTGGCAGCCTCTGCACCTGCCACCCTTGGGGTGCCTCCCCCCCCGTGCCCAGGATGGGGGGAAGGGGGTGGAGGCCTTACCAGCCAGGAGCCCTTCATCATCAGCCCCATCAGGGCTGGGGTTCGGCTGACGGCCACAGCGGACAAGGCCGTCAGGCCCACGCTCCCGGCGAAGTACATGTAGGTGGAGCGGATGCGGTCCTTCACGTACTGGGGCCAAATCCTGGAGGGAAAAGCCGCAGGAAGCCCAGGGGAGTCAGGGAAGCCTTCCCTCCTCGGGCACCAGGGCCCGGCCCCTCTCCCCCAGGAGACACCCCCCCCCAGACGCTGCGACCCTCGCTCAGTGGGAAGCAGTTGCCGAGCGTCCGAATTTTGATCTGGGGACCTCTGCAGCGGCTTTGTGGGAAACGGTCAACCGCTGAAACTCCAAACGGTCACTAGATGAACCGTTGTAAGTCGAGGACCGTCTGCAGTCACAGGCTGGGACCCAAAGGGAAAGGGGGGGTTAGGGATCATGCCAGGGCCACGCAGCCCCTTCAGCCCAGAGCACCTGGGGATGCCCCTCCCTCCCCCCCCCGGGAGCCATTCGAGCAGCCCCCTCTTCCTTCAGGCCCTCGGAGGAGGCTGCCCTGGGCGGTGCCTGAAAGCCTGGAAAGACACAGCCAAGGGCCCAAATAGCCACAGGGGAGCCTGGCAAACAACCCGGGTTGTCTATCCCCAAGGCAAGGAGAGGCGCGCTCTGCACATGCCCCCGAGCATCCTGGCAGGCCTGTCTTTTGAAGCCAGTGCACAGGCCCTGGACCTGACTCCCAACTGCCCTCCGAGGGGGCGGAAGCCCTCCCCGCCCAGCGGAAAAGCTGCCGTAAGTTGTGCAGAATAAGTGAATTTTGGAATATTCCTACAAGCGAAAAGACAGACCCAGAAGATGCAAGGCATCTCTTCCGCCGCCCCTTCTCTGGCTCTCGCTCTTCCTGAGGTAAATCTGGGGCCAGGTCCATCTTTGGAGTAAGAATAAGGCGGCAACCCTGGCACCCATGAAGAGCCTTCCAGCCATAGGTCCACGGAGGTTCTCCGCCACCCAGGGGGCCTTTTCCGAAAGGCAGCCGGGCTTTCTTGGGAAGCTTCTTGCCTGTGAGAAGCCAAACCTTCCCCAGGGAAAACGGAGCCCGGATGCCTTCTGAAAAAGCCCCTTTGGGACTTCTGCTCATCGCCTGCTGAACCGAAGCAAACAAGGAAGCTCCAAGCAAGCCAGCATGCCAAGCGGGGCTCCCTTTATCAAGGTTTGTTTGCTTTTATTCTGCCAAAGTTTTCCCACTCAGCAAACTCCATTCTTGGCATAATGATCCAATCAATACGTAACTCTGTGGGGTGTCCCCCCCCACACAAAGTAATTTAGGTGGACCTTTAAAAATAGAGGATTGCTGGGGTCCGAATTACAAATCACCTTCCACTGCATTTCTCCAGCCTGTGCTCACAGCTACCCATACATTGACTTCTACTGCAACTGCTTTAATTGTGAGACAAACAGGCCACGTTTTGTCCCCCATGGACTCCTAGCTGGGATGGGGACCTATAACGGCAGCTATCAGGTCGCTAAACAGCTCCCTATCCGCCGAGGTTCCCGGTGGGCCCAGAGACGCCCCACCAGTGGCTCCTATTGGAAACAAACGGCTTACACGGCTTTTTCCAGGGCGCCGATTTCATTGGACATGCCCAGCCCATAATAACAGAGAGCGCCAAGACCGACAGCAGCTCCCCCAGCCACGATCCATCGTCCTGCCTGGTGAACTGAGACAAAAGAGAAGAGAGCAATGAGCCGGAAGGGGTTTCTCTCCTTGGGAAAAGGACGCCACCCAGGCGATTCCCCAAAGGGTTTCGCCCGGAGCCAATTGGACTGACGGTTTCTTGGGGGAGGGGGCTTGGTGGGTGTTTTTTTTTTTTTGCCTGAAAACCAACCTCTCCCCCTCTCGGGCACACCTCATGAAAGGACCGTGGGCTCCTCCTCCTCCTCGGAAAAGAGGGATGCCCACACTAAGTACCTTCCCCTGCTTCAGCTCCGAATTCTGCCCAAGGCTAAGGCTGGACCTGCGATGGGGTTGCCCGTCTTTCAGCCAGAGCTCAGGACCGCCAGGGAGGGGAAACCCAGGACTCTCCTGGATCCGGCCTGCCCTGGTCCTGGCGGAGTCAAGGCCCACACATACACACAGGGGCACCTACTTTTAAAGGCCTTCTCCATGGAGGGTTCAAAGGCTGCTTCTTTCACTTCCTGACCCATTTTCCTTTGGCGTATCCCTGTCCGGACCCTGGAGGAATAGCCCTAGGAGTCAAAGCAAAGCAGTAAGGCATCATCAGCAATGAGAGAGAGAGAGAGACAGAGCGAGTGAGAGAGAGAGGGAGATGCCTCCTGGCCCTTGCAAGGAGAACCGGATCAGGCCAAGGATCCTTTTTCAAGGGCGATGCTCTGACTGGCCTGCCTGAGAAACTCCCCGGATTCTGGAGGAATCAGTACTAAACGCTGAAGGTGGCTGGGAGGCTTTGTAACTTGGCTGAGTGGGAGTTGGGTCACCAGCACCACCTTTTTCTGCTCCTCCCTTTGATTTGTACCCCTCCAGGGCAGAGTTCCTGGTTCTCTCCCAGGCCGACCCCACTTAGAGCTGCTTCGAGGTCAGCGGGGTTCCACTGAGGACTCCTGAATGAAAGCAAACCGGAGAACAGCGAAGGGAGGGTGAGAGTCTGCAGAGAGACGTACCTGGTAAGGCTGCCTGAGCCATTGCTTGGTCCGTAGGGAAGAGTTCCTCACGGTGGGTGAAATCCGAGCGACGGCAGAGCACAGGCTGCTGCTGGGAAGAGCCCGAAGACACACCAACCTTGCCGCCAGCATGGCTGTGGGAACCAAGTCAAGGGCAACAGCTGCCTGCAACCAGAACAACAGAGAAGAAGGTCATTACCACTGAGTTTGTGCCTTTGCCCAACCCAGAAAAGCAGGAGGGAACTCAGAACACCACAGTTTGGGTTGCAGGCAATCAGAACTGCCATAGGCAGTGGGAGGATGGGAAGCCAGGGGTGCCCAAGCTTGGCCACCTGGGAGTGAAGCCCGAGTCTTAGAAGTGCCCAAGGTCGGGCAGCCTTGCTTTATAGGCCTGGCTCGCTGGAGGATTCTGAGAGTTGAAGTCCACAAACTCTGGGATCCTCGACCCCGGAGGACCTCATGCCTGGCCCATAAACTTCCCCTGGAATACTGTTTTGCAGCTTCCTGCCCAAGGATTTCCTACTAATCTCCCATCCAATTATAAATCAAATGCAATCCGCCTTGGCTTTCCAAGGCTGCCCCAGGACGCCTAAAAGATGCCATCAGGCTGGTTCTTAGACTAGGAGATGCAGCACTGGGCCCTGTAAGTGGCTTAGCATCCTCTCACTTGAGAAGGAACCACCAGTCCCCAATATAGTTTTAGACAAAGTCCAGCTGGTGGGATATTCGCAGAACACGCATTTCCCATGAAACGGAGAAAACCAACAACCACTTATAGATGCCCCCATGCCTGCAATGGTGTTAGAACTGCAACAGTTTTAACAGAAAGAACAGAAACACGAATGCCTCTCACAGATATCGTTACACAGAGCCTTGTGGTAACTGAGATAAAAGGAACTTCATGTCAGAGAGAGGAGATAATTCCTGAACAAGAACGGCTGGCTGAATAGGCCATTTCAACAAGACATTCAGTAATAATTTGGTATTAAATCTAGAATACTGGGTGCTAGGCAAACTTGGAACATTTTTTCAGCTTCGGCTTTATGTAACTTACACCTGAGCAAGCATGGACGAGGCTACGTTATTAATCCATTTTGACAAAAGCGAGAGCCTCAAGAGACCCGGGAGCTCTTCCGTCTCAGGAAAGAGCAGAGTTTTCCCAGCCCTCTGCACTTTTTGAAACACAGAGGCGCAGCTGCCCAGGGAAGAAGGCGGCAAGAGGAGGCGAAGTATGTCACTGCATGGTCGTTATGTGGTTATCCATCCTTGACAGCAAACCGGCAAATGCTGAGTCAACACTGGGTGGTGATGTCACAAAGAGTGTAAGGCCTCCCTGTGTGGGCCTGCAGGCATGTGCCTGGCCTCTTCCCCTTACAACGGCAATGATGCCAAGAGGCAAGGCAACTCAGAGAGAAGGTCAGGGTGTTGCCCTTCTGATGGGGAACATCCCAGTTAAGTTTTTAAACAGACCCATCCGTGGTTCTTTAATAAACCACGGCTGCTTTGCTGCCTGGTTATTTGTTTGTTTAGCCTATCCAAAGTGATGCAATCACTGAAGTAAAACAGTAATAAAACCCACAGATATACAAACATGTTGTTTTAACCCTTTCATCATGTCCTACTCCCGATGACTTTATGGGCAGCTGCTCTCCATGTGACCCCGTCAATCAGAGCTTTTTCCAGTTGTTGGACGTTCAATCCTGTTATCAGATTTGATGTTATTGAGCCAGCATGTTCTTTGCTTGGCTCCTTCCTCTTCTTCCGCCAACTGTTCCTAGCCTCCCCACAGAGGTGCCGTTTTTTCCAAGAGGCGACTGGACTTCCTTTCGTTTTCTTTGAGGAGGTTCCGCTTCTCCTCCAAGAGGATTCTTCCGCTCTGACTGGAGCGTGGAGAACCGAAGAAGCTTCTTGGAGGAGAAGCGAAACGCCTCCAAAGAAAAGGAAGGAAGGCCAGTCGCCTCTCGAAAAGGCAACTTTGTCTTGGGGACTTCCGGTTTGAAGGGCTTCGGCGACAGACAGGAATCCTCGATCGTGCGCGGTTTCTGCCTGGGCTCGCCGCTGGAGCGCCCTGAGCCGGCTGGCTTCGGGGCTAAGCCACCCCGTAGAGGTGGTGAAGAAGGGGGAGACCGCCAGCAGGGTTGAGGAGAGCCGCATCTCTCCTCCTCAGCTGGCCATTACTCCCTTTCCTGAAGGCGGTAGGAGCGGTGGTCAGAAATGGCCACCTCAAAGAAGATCTCAATCGGAAAAGAACGTGCAGGAGGAAAATAAGAAGTGAAAGTTTTGGCTGACCGGGCTAAGTTCCCTGGAATTTAAATTTTACAAGAAATAACATCGCTCCCAAAGAACAGTCGGAAGCAGCGAAAGAAAGTGAAAAGGGAAAGGTTTGACTTTTTTTTCCTTCTCTTTCCTTCCTTATATTGACAATTAAGAATAAGAAATTGGAAAAATCCGCTTTGGCATCAATAGGCAATTAAGCTGAAAATATAACTAAATGCCAAAGGGACAATAAAGATTTCTGGACATTAAAAACTTTTTCTTCTATAAGCAGGAAGGGAGAGAAAAAGAATAAGGGCAGGATCTGGAAGAGGGAGGAGACTGCCTGGACTTTAAAAGAATGTAAAGTAAAATTTCAATAAGACTTCTAAAAGATATTTTAACTGAAACTTTGCAACTAAATAGTAACCCCAGGAAGAGAAAGTGGAAAAAAAAGGAACAGCAAAAAGAAACAGCTTGTGTGTATTTGGATTACTTGGTGACTTTTGGATTTTTGGCTATTATATTTGAATGACTAAAATCAATTGGGTGGTTGTTTAAAAATTTCTACAATGGCACCATTGTAGTGCCATTTCAATTCTGGATGAATTGAAAATGGAACTTAAAAAGTACAAAAAAGATGCACAAGAAGGGAAGGGTTCCTTTGGCTTCGTTTTTCAATTTCTAGAAATGGAGATTTGGAACTATGAGAAACAACAAGAAAAGACTGCAAAACAAGACTGGGACAAAGAAGAAGCCATCTTTAATGAACAAGTAACTCTATGTGGGGAAGAAAAAGGAAAGGGGGGAAAGAGGATGGAGAATTTAAGACTTAAAAAAACAGAAAAGAAAAATAATTTGAAAAATAAGTATAATACTGGAAAGCAACAGAAAAGGGGAATACATAAGAGGGAAATAGAGGTAGAGAGACAAAGGGGTAAAAAGGGGAGAGAGAAGAAGAGAGAGAAGAAGGAAAGGAAGTTACAAAGTTCCGGAGCAAGATATAAAGTCCTGTTTCTTTATATATCCTATTTAGATATAATGGGTGAAAATCTAATTGAAAGGGGGATTCTGTAAAGGTACATGAGATTGTGTTGTTATATTTGACATAGAAATAACTTTAGAAATTGGAAACAACATATGATTAGAATGAGGGATAGAATGGTTAGTGTAATTTAGTGAAATGTTTGTGAATAAAGTAAATGAAATAAAATAAATGAGAAAATTGAATTAGGAAGGAATGGGAACACTTTAGTCAATGTTTTATAAAATATAAGTGAAGGGGGGGAATTGAATATGGAAAGTTTACAATTGCTCCCATAGAAGTATATTTAATTGAAAAGTAACGTGAAAATGTTAAGACTGCAAAGAATATTGATAGAATTGAATTGGAATGGAATGTTGTTTTAATTATATATATTTATAATTTTTTTCTTTTTTTAAGAATACAGTGTGTAGTTTAAGAATGTACCAAGCAGAATCCGAATGGAAGTTATGTATTATATTGAATGTTATAACTTTAGGGGAAAGATATAAAGGCGTCATACTCCAATCAGTAACTATAGGAGAAATTTTGTTTTTGTGAAAATTCAAATAAAATTTACCAAAAAATAGGCAACTTTGTCTCAACCCTGACCTGGAGGTCTGAGAATCTCCAGAGCCACTTCTTAGTGTTCCCAGCCTCCCCCAATGCATTTACACACAGGGCAGGGCCACAGGGAACCGGGCGTGGTCTTACGCGCTGAGCTTCTGGTGACGGGCCTGGCTTCCTACGACTTAACGTCTCTTGTGCCAGGGGCTCTGGCTGCCCAGGAAATGTACCCCAGGGGCCCCCAACCTCCGGGCCACGGCCTGTTCAACACTAAGTTGCAGGAGATGTGCAGGAGTGCCTGTGAGGTTGCACTGGTGCAAGGGAAGGGCGTGAGCCGAGCTTCACACAAGCGCTCTCGGCTCCCACGGCTTCCCCCTCCGCTTGTGTGCCCCGCACCATTCGCCTGAGCGCCCATGAAGGCAGCTGGGGTCACCTCTCCAAGGCCTCCCACTCATGCCAGGCCAAGCTGGCCATGCCCGCTCCTTTCGTGGGCCAGCAGCCCATTTCAAAGGCGCCAATTCTTCTTTCGTGTCCAACTCCTTCGCATCCGTCCGTCAGAACAGGGAAGGCAACTGCTCCGGCTAGCCTGCTTTTCCTTTTGATCCCTATATGGCTCAGAGAGATAAGCTGAAATAAAGCTTCAGCTCACACCCGGATGTGAAGTGTGTGGACAGCACAACAGACAGAAGAGGAATTAGGGGCGAACCTGGGATGCAACCACCGTTAACGGGGCGCAGCAGAGCCGCCATAGGACAGAGGCCGAGAGTCGTCCCCCCCAGAGGCATAGCTGTGCAGGAGGAAGAGCCTCTTTTCACAGTAAAACATTAGTTTAAAAGGGTCCCCGATTCAGAGAACCAACCGGTCAGCACTGCCCAAACGGGGGTCCCTGCGCCACTTTCGGCCGCCCACCATCCCCACAGTCTTCATTGAGGCCGTTTAGTGAGTTGCCAGCCAAAGCAGCAAAGGACCAGCTGAGCTTCATTGCACAGAAAATCATTTAAAAGGAAAAAAAGTTTTGTTTGGAGCATAAAGCGCCCCCCACCCCCACCCCACCCCGGCTGATCCAAAGACTTCCGGAAGATCTCCTGATGGCCCCCCATCCATCCAGTTAGCCAAACCTTCCACGTGCCCAAGAGGGGGGGGGAGTACAAAAACGCCCCTAAGCTGCAGAGGCGGCCTTTGGAAGCCCGTGGGCAAAATAGCCCGGCACGGACCCTGGGAGGCCATCTATCCCACCCCACGGTGGTGCCCGCCCGGCTCTTTCCAGGAGCTCCTGGACCATCCACGGGGGGGGGGGGGGGGGGGGGGGGGTTGGTTGCTGCCCAGGGGTCTTTTTTTTTTCGGGGGAGGGTGGGGAAGGGCACCGCTGCCTGTTTCCCTAGGCGCAGCGTTAGAAGCCGGGAAGCGCCTGGGCTCCAGAGGGAAACTGAGGCGGGTGGGGGAGGCAGCCGCCACCGCCGCCGCCATGTCTGCCCCCCCCACCGGGACCCCTCTCACCCACAACAGCCCTGCCAGGTAGGCCCGCCGCCATCCCTCTCTCCCATTGACCGGCGGGGCGGAGAGGAGGAGCCCCGGAGACCTCCCAAGGCCGGGGAAACGCTGGCCTCGCCGCTACCCCCGACTCACCTCCCGATGCCTGTCCTTCTCCCGATGCCGCAGCGGCCTTCCCGGAAGTGATGGCCTGGTCAGGGGGAGGGACGTCCGCCCTTCCCGCCCCGCCATTGGTTCGCCCGTCTCACGTGGAGTGCGTGCCCCTTCCGCCCCGGGTGGGTAAGCGAGGCGTCTGCGGCCATCTTGAGGAAGGGCAAAAGGACGCTACTTCCGACGACGTTCGCCAAATGGCCGCCGCCGGGCGGAAGTTTTGGGGAGACTTCCACTCCTTGGGAAAAAGGAAAGGGGAGAGAGAGAGAGAGAGAGAGAGAGAGGGGGGGGGGGGGGGTGGGTCACATGTTGGAAGTGGGCATGGCCGCAGTCCGTTGGGATTCCTTCTGCGGCTGAGACACGGTCGCAAATCGGTCTACTGGGCAGCCGACCCCCTGCTGGAGAGGAGTGCGCCTGATGGGCTGCGAACGAGAGAGTCCGAAAAAGGAGCTTTAATTAAGAGCAATTAATTGCATGAGTGTAATTAATGCCTGGATTGAATTAGGCTGGCCAGACGCGGAGTTGCCAACATGGCCTCGGCCACTAGATGGCAGTCAAACGCCAGGCAAGGTGGCCAGAAGCCCGGATTTTTTATTATTTTATTACGATGATTTTAATGACCTCAAAATCCAGCCCCAAAACCCTGCAAAGACCTGGCGATGCAAAGAGATTCTGCGGCTGTGGGTGTGTGTCAGCCGTGGACACAAGGAAGTTTATGCTTATACTTATTTATTTTTATTCTTATTTCTATTGTAAGCTTTTGACAAAATAAATAAATAAAATAAATAAATAAGTCTCAGACCAGCCAGCCGTAGCCTAGAAATCCAGTTGGTCCTGTCTGCTCCTGGCCCTGCGTGCATCTGATTCATTGAGGGCCGGCCTAAAGTTGCCTTGGCTCAGAAGGACCAGAGGCAGGCAGGTCTTGTCTCCGGATATATTTATTGATTGGTCAAATTTGTACAGCTCACAAAGTTACGTCTCTGCCCCTCACCAAGCAAGTGACTCTGGGCGGCATTCATAAATTAGTAAGCTAGCTAACAAATTAGCTAATCAATCCCTAAAACAAACCTCATTATCCAAAGGATGCATGCCGGAAGGCATTCCGTTCCTTAGTTTTGTTTTGGTGGGGGCTCATCCAAGAGAAGCTTCTTTCAGGGGTTGCATTGCTAAAACACGCTGACGAGAAATGATCGTGCAAAACAACCTATTTCACAAAAGTCGCCTTTTTCAACTGCGTCTGTGTGATGGATGACTTTGACCCAAAGTTACTCCACATTCAAATCATCTTATGTTGGACCTTGACGTTAAACGAAGTCAATTCTATTGTGTTGCTCTAGAAATGCAAGGTTTTATTTTCTAATAAATGGTGACCAAGACCGAAAACTTCAAGAAAGGCGGCCTTTTGGGACTCTGAACAATGCATTCGATGGAATCTTTTCTGCATCTGCTCCAATTCAATGATGCAGTCTCAACATCTTATCTCAATATCCTAATATCCCCTTCTGGGAGAGAATGTGCTGTCCATTTGAAACCACCATTCTGCCTTGTAAATATCCTTTGGATTCTTTTACACACTGGAAGGGAAGTTTAAACTCTGCAGACTGGTCCAAAGTATGTTGAAGACGCCATTTATAGTTGAAAGCCGCCTCGTATCCAAGGCCCAAAATCTCCAGTGGTTCTCCTTTATGCACAAATAGATTCATCTTCTGGAGAAGGTGCTGTGCCAGAGCTAGTGATGTGTGTTTCAGATGCCATCAGTTCTGCATTGGGAGCCTCAACATATAAGAGCCTGCGAGGAGCACAGCTGTACAGAATGGCCACCCCACTTGAGGGTTTATCTCTCGGAGGCTGAATTTGTATCTGCACATTGTATTCCTCCCACCTGTTGGCAGCCCTGTGCGCTTATCAGTAGCCTTTTTTTTAATCATTCAGGAATTTCATTAACACAGTAAAAATCCCCTCTGTGGTTCCAGCCTCAATGGAAATATTCCCAAGAAAAGTTGCTCCAAGTTTGCACAACCCAAACAACGGTGGAGGCTTGTTTCTCTGCTGTTCAATCAGTTCAGGTAGTCCTCGACTTACGACCACAATTGAGCCCAAACATTTTCTTGCCAAAATTCGTTCAGTGAATTTTGTCCCATTTTACAACCTTTCCTGCCACAGTTGTTAAGCGAATCACTGCAATTGTTAATTGAATCTGGCTTCCCCTTGTCAGCAGGTCGCAAAAGAGGATCCCGGGTCACTGCGGCCGTCATAACTATGAATCCTTTTCTTCCTTTGCTGCCTCTAAAATTCTTCCTGGGGATTGCAAAAACCAACCTGAATTTGCTTAGGTGGCTTTTGAGATGCTATTGTGATCATCCTCCTGCTCTCTTGGGATGCTGACTGTCAAAATTATTCTTCATTCCAGGGCCCTATTCAGCCTAAGTTGCCCATCCAGGACAGCATAAAAATAGTGGGAGCAGCAAACAGTTTCCACAACTTTCAGCAGGACTTTATTCTGACTCCTTTCGTGTGAAGTTCAAAACAGACATCGGCTGAGGAAGACGGTGCATAAATACATGAAAAATGCATGAATGCAAGCGGAGGATTCTAACGAAGTTCAGCTCCAGAGACCCCTCGCTCCCTCTTCTTGCTTTGGAATTCATGGGGCCGCAGGCATAATAGAGCCTTGAGGTTATTTGATAGCCACCTCCAGCGAATCTTTTCACATTCAGCTTCAAGGTCCTCTTAGTGGCTCTCCCACCCCCCAGAAAAGGGTCCAGATCATGCTCTAGAATTCAAGGAACCGACATAGGTGGATGAATGGTGAAGAGGAAAGTTTCGGATGAATGGTGAAGAGGAAGGTTTATAGGAGATAGCTGCTAGCTTTCTGCAACCCCTTCTAAGTAAATTCTCCAAGAGATATTTATTTGGCCTCCACAGTGCCTCTAAACCAAGCCATAAATTTTTTCAAATGTAGCCCACTGCTGCTGTGACTCGCAACCCCGTCCCATGATTGCATTAACAAAATGGGGTAATTGCAAACTTGGAAGCGTAGGCTCTTAAGGCAGCGGCCAAGAGGATTTCTGTCTTCAGCAAGACACAATTTCATCAATGGCTTCTGGGGCTGTTTTGATCAGCAGAGTAGGAATTCAAGTTTCTGTTGCTGCCTTGCCTACGTGGGCACGTTGGATGGCTGGTGATGTTCAAAATGAAATCTGATGCACAACCATAAGGGGGGAAAGGAAGGGGACCCCCAGTGGGAATGTTTGCTGGCTTTGCAGCCTCTTTAGCGCCTGAGATCCTTTCTCTAGCACATTGCACAAGGCCTGGCCATTTATCTCTCATATATTATCGACTCTATTGAATAAAGAATTGGTTCCTATTTTAGGCTGGACTATAAATCACATTGAGTGGGGCAGCAGAAGAGACGACAAGGAATATCTATTGTCATTGCAAATTTTTGTCAATGGAAACAAGGGTGAGCTACTAAAAAGACCGAGACTTTCTCTTCTGCTCAGGACAGAAGGAGAAGGCTGAAATCCAGAGCAAATCTGCCTTGGTTTACATAGGATGTTCTGCCAGTTGAGGAAGACAAAATGGGTATTATTCATAACTGTTCCTGAGGAGGAGGAAGAGGAGGAGGAGGGGGGGGGAGGAGGGGGAGAACAGATAGGAAAATTGGATGAATGAGAGGGAGATAAATGAGGAGATGGAAGAGGAGTAGGAGGAGGAAGAGAAGAAGAGAGGGCAAACTTAGAAATGGTAGGACCTGGACTGTTAAATGTTTATCAGTCCCTGACTGTGAATCAAATTGAAGAAGAAGGTGAGGATTAGAATTCATATTTTTTAAAGCAGTAGAAACTGGGAATTCTGATCAAGAAAGGTGGGACTTTTGAGGGGCTGACTGGGTGTATGTGAGGGTGTGGAAGACTCTATCAAGGTTTGAGAAAATGTAATTTCAGAACTCTTTTTAAAAAAATGCTATTTGTACTTTCTGATTGCATTCAGCCATTAAGGTGCTTTTCTCTTTCAACTTCCCCAGCAAAAGAAAAGTAACCTTTTAAATTAATTACACCTTGATTTTAAAATATTGGTTTTCACCCAGAAAAAGGGAAATGTTCTCGGGCGGCTTAATAACATATTAATGCATGTAAATTCATGCATAATTCTTTTCAGTTCAGTCCTTTGGAAACTAACATGCAGAAGGTTTTTAATGTACTTGGAAAAGCAACTGTAAAATCCTCAAGGAAAATCAAGGTGCAGAATATTTAAAAATATTTTTAAAGCACCCAGAATCTGTTTGGCAAACACAATAAGCATTTTGAGTGCCACAGTCAGTTATTAGTCTTTTGAAAGGCCCAATGCCTGCTTGCCATGAACGCTCATAGACAGGACATGTTTGTGCAGGTGGGGCCATTTTAGACATGGTCTGAGTTTGACCCCTGAGTGTCCAGGTTAGTCTTCAACTTATGATCCCAAGAAGGCCCAAAATTTATGTTGCTAAGCAAGATGTTTGTTAAGTGAGTTTTGCCCCATTTTAAGATCCTTCTTGCCAACGTTAAGCGAATCCCTGCAGTCGTTCAGTTAGTGACCCGGTCGTTAAGGGAATCGGGCTTCTCCCCCCCATGGACTATGCCTGTCAGAAGGTCGCAAAAGGGGATCACGTGACCCTGGGAACACCCTGCGACCTTCGTAAATACGAGTCAGTTGCCAGGGGTCTGGATTGGGACCAGGTGATCATGGGGTGGGGGTGGGAGGCTGCAATGGCCATAAGTGTGAAAAATGCTCCTAAGTCACTTTTTACAGTCATGCAACTTTGAACTGCCACTAAATGAACTGTTGTAAGTTGAGGACTGCTTGGAGATGATTTTCTCTGCCGTGAGTCACATACAATCCTTGTTCCTTACTTGTTTTCTTAACTTTCTACATCGGACGCAGCTTTGGAGATACGTCCTGGGCTTAAGGAATGTTCACTTTGTTCCTGAGAAAATGAAGTAAAGTAGAGACGCCACAGGACACGGTACAGAAAGCATGGCACAGCCCCAATGCCAGC